ATACCGACCTAAAGATTTTTAAAATATAATGGCTTTTATTTAAGACTTTTCTTATATACTTTTGATTAAACTTATTTTTTTTTTTAGCTTATATTTAGTCGAAAGAGATAGTTAATCGCTCAATTATTAGTATAAATTTTGGTCAATTGTTTATTGTGTTAAATTTTTTATATTAGCAAATTTTGTCATACAATTGAAATCTTGAGTCATTTGGTGATTTTTTTTTAATTCTATAAATTAGAAATCAACAATTAATTTTCTTATATACAAAGTTAAAAGACTTCATTCCTTTGAACTTTCTCTTTAAATTGAATTTAACAAATTGAACTTACCCTTAAATCAAAACATTATATAAAATTAGACCACGAATTTCCTAACCACGCCTCAAGTTAAATATAAATAATATTTAAAATTAGCAAACGGACAAATCTTTAAAAATCTTTAACAATAAAGCAATGCAATCATTTTCAGAGAAGAAAGCAAGACAACAACTAGATCGATCCTTAGAATTAATTGAACAAATTAAAAATGACAAAAATCATGCAAAGTCAAAACTAAAAATTTTCAAAAAACTTACTTTAGCTAAAAATGACTATGAAGAAGCTAAAAAAGAAGCTGAAAATAAATACAATGAAAAACTAAACAAATTATTTCGTGTCATATGCGCATCAGATGATTATGAAACAGCATTCGAGTTTTTTCAATTAATTCAAAATGAAGAAAATAATATTATTAAAAGAAAGTCATATATAAAATCAGAATGCGCTTACTTGGTGGCTTTGGTTATAAACAAGATATTGCACAGGGCCAAGAATTAATTAAAAAAGCTTCAAGACTTGGTCTTACTAGTGCAATTACTTGGGTAAATACATATAATTCTAGATGCGATTTTGGTGCAAGTGAAGTTATTAGTCGTAATATGATATAATTTAATATAATTTAGTAATGAGCTCTGCAACTTTACTAAGTAATAGCAAATTAATACGAAAATAGTTATCAAAACATTAAGTAATTTGAGTTAATATATTTTTTTTAAAAATAAAAAAAAAATAGTGAGAAAAATAATATTTCATAAAAAAAAGACAAGAGGAAAGATAATGTTAGAGATATTGTCTAAGCTTTTCTATTTTGTAATTTAACAAATAATAAATTTTATTATTTGAACCAGTTTATTTTTCGAAAGCCTCTAGCTACCGTCAGAGAATGAAGGTAATTTTTCAGGTTCTTCCGATGAATTAGCATTAGTGAGTATTTGTACATATGCATCTGAAAATTATTCAAAGATACACTAGTAAAAAATTGATCGAAATTTTATTAATAAACTAATTAATGTAAAAAACTAATCAACGTAATAACAATTAAAATTCTAAATACGTATACTTTTACTTCGATGTGTGTTTATATTATATCATCTTCAATTTAAACTTAATAGGATAAGTATAGATGTCGGTGAAATTGGTAAAATTAATTTTTTAATATTAAAAATTAATTTAAATTTAAATTATATAAAAAACTAATTAAAATTAAACTAAATTAAATACAATAGTTGGTTTATAATTAATTTATAAAAATATTAAAATGTTAAAATTTTTGTCGAAATTATTGTTAAAAAAATTCATATATGGTCATAAGCATTGCATCATTTTTTAAATCTTAATTTTGAATTTTATTAATTATATATTCTGTTTATTAAGAAATTGCGTGTAAGCAGAAACGATTAATATTTTCAAATTAACACATTGTATCTGACAAATATTTTATTTGAAGAATTGTCTTCTAAGCCAATTTTTTTTACAATTTAATGAAGTATGGAATGAAAATGTGACTTCACAGACCTAATCAAAATTTAAGCTTATTAAACATTTTCAAAAATTATTATCTGTAAAGAGTTAATTTTAACAGATGTTTTCACAGATTTTATTAATTCTAAAATTTTTCGATATATTGCTGAACATCACTGATGATTTTAAGGATAAATTTATTATCTTGTTCTTTTGGATGTTTAAATAAAAGATAATATACTATCATAAACTTGGCTTCATATGCAATGTAGTTAGACTTTTCTTCAAGTTCAGAAAAGCTTTCCCAAGCATTATTATATTTACGTTCATGGTGAAATTAAAATGCTTCAGAAAGTTTAATGTTATCATCAACATGTTAGTATAGAAAATTTTTATTCAGATGTGTTTTCATTAAGATATTATTTTAATACATATATAATTTAATTTGGTATTAAGTTTTCATGAATTAAAACTTGTCAATTATAAACTTAAATTCACTAATTCAAACTTATATTGAATTTTATATTTTAACTTTGTCTTTATATAACTATAGAAAACTCCTATTGTTAATCTATTTGAATTAAATTCCTACAAACATAATACTAATTTATATGCTGAGTTTTTATATTTTTTTTATTGTAATTAAAACTTTCTAATTCAACAATTTTATATTTACATTTAATATAGAAACTCAATCAAGATATCGCTGTTAATACAGTAATTTAAGAAATATGTTAATTTCATTAGTGACTTACTTTATAATAAAATTTATTTTTTTTTTTTTTACATTCATAAATATTTTAAAAATTTAAAATTTTCATATATTAAAGACTATATACAGTATGAAAATTAAATATATATAAGTTACAAAAAAAAAAGTACCAAAAATCAAATAATAATTTAAATTAAACCTATCTTCCTCTAATGTATTGATTCTTTCCATCATTAAGTCATTAATTGTTTCTTTAACGACATCGCACATTTTATCATAAGTTGTAATGATAATTTTTTCCTTTGACAAACCAGCTATTTGAAATGCTATTTTTTTTACACAAGTGCATTTTAAAACGATCAAAAATCCTGCATCAAATTCTCCTTTTCTAATTCCTTCAACATCTAAATTCCCCACCCTAACAGTAGACTCAACTTTATTTACATTTATCCTGTCTAATTATTAAGATCATGTAATTAGATATTAAATACTGTATAAAAAAAAATATATTAATAACTTACCAATAGACCTTTTAAAATACGCTTTATATTGAAAAACAAAAGTAAATCCGTTCACCTCTATTACTATGTCTTTACCACTATCTCCACGTTTACTAAATTAATAATATTAATAAGTTTTGCTTCATAGCCAAAATACGTATTCTATTTACCAGGTTAATCCCAAACTATTACACAATAGAAATCAAACAACCAAAAAGAACATTCTATACCGAAACATAGGTCACGAAGAGCTTTCAATTCTTGGATATTTTATGCTAACCTGGCAGCGTAACTTCGAATACATAATAATTTGACAAAACTCGTAAGAAAATACTCACCCAGTGTGAACAATTTTGGCACCCCAAATTTTAAACATATTCAAAAGATTTACACAAAACTTTTCAAACCTCTCTCACAGATTTTTACTTGATTCTCCTTTAATTGATTTGAAAACTTTGTTAGCCATATTAAAATGACTAAAAGTTAAATAACCATCTTATCTAGATTAAATATTTTCTATTTTTGAAAAAAAAGTTCATTATTGTTAAAAAAAAAAGCTTATTCATGCAAAAAAATAAACGTACAAAAAAGATCAATATTTTAACCTGTATCGATATACCAGGAACGGAGTACAAAATACATAGCATTTGGAATGCTATATCTCTTGTGTCTGATTGGTTAATATATCTTTGTGACTTCTGAATGTATTTCTATATTTGTATATTCTCTATGGGGTTTTGCTTTATTGTATCGCATGCAAAAAAAAACAAAAACTTATGCCAAAACTGGTATAACCTGTAACTCGCTAAAAATCTATTTTTCATTCCTAGTTTTGCATAACAACATCGCATAGTTACTTATTAAATACTAAATTTGGTGCTAAATGAAAATTAAATTGTATTACATACTTCAGTTAGTTAACTTTCCAAATATGCAAGTTTTGTGTTAAATTTATATTTCTCATATAAGCAACACAGATAATAGCATTTATTCTCTTTCTAAGCTATAATACGAGGCAATATATTTGAATTTCATTGTTTTTTTGAAAATATCATATTATTGATTAATTTCGATTTGTATAAGTTTAAAAGTAATGTCTTAAAGGTGAATTATGATCATATCGATCATTATGTATTTGCCTTAATCTCTATAACAATATTTAGCTAATGACTCTTTAAGTTAATAGATTGTAAATATTAAGATAAACTTTCAAATTTTTATTTTGCTCATCAACAATAGTAAATTTTATCTGGCTAAAAAAGAAACAAGAAAAAATACACAATCAAATTCTTTATAAAAAGATGAATGCGCAATTTATATTTCTACAAAAGTATACTAAATCAAATATGAGATGCCTGAACATGAATGTCATTGCTATAATAAAAATAAATTTTGTAAATGGAAAAATGCAAAATTATTATTAGTTATCGACCAGAGTACCAAAAAAGATTCTTTCCCCAAAATGAAGAAAAGGGAGACAGAACAACAATCTATTACAAAATATAAAAATGATTGCTATACGGTATAATTCAAATTAGGCAACCTTTTTAGACAATAAAAATATTGAGAATTCTTAATAGAAAATTGGTTTCTTCACAAATACCTGGCAGGACTATTTATTGTGCAAGCTCTATATTGTATACATAAAACTATAGGCATAAAGCAAATATATATACAAAGAAGCGTATATCATTTAAAGAGTATTCAATAATCATTAATGGTATGATTAAGAAAGTACTTAATAATTTATACTTTCGACTTTGATAATCTATAACCGTTACAAGTTCTATAGACGTTCTGCTTAATTTGATCGAAACTATTGCTAAAATCTAATTTGCCAACGATAGCACTGTAAATACAAAAGTGGTAAAAACTTTTTTCTAATTTATATTTATTAGAATATTCTATATATTCATTCATTTAAAAAATTGTTTTACGATCGAGTCAAATTTGCAGATCATGATTGGATGATTACGTAATTGTTGCGTAATTTTTGATCGTTACTCTTAATGTTAACTGTTAATCAAGAAGACTTCTAGCATTTTTGAATTCACTTACCAAAAAATAAGCATTTCTAAATTTACAGTATATTATTTGTATGTTTCGCTTGATTTCTTGTTATTTAATTTTATTATCATACATGTCTATTTATTCTTTCTTTTAGGTATTAGCCTTTTTCCACTTTAAGACTATAAAGAAAGTAATAATAGTTATTATCGAATTCTAATTAATTATAATCGAATTATATGTGTTATTAGAGATGTGCTATTTATATATTACCTGAATTTTTTTTTGCATACAGTACGTAGCGTACAGTACTGTACGTGGCACATCTCTACGTATTATTATATATTCGCGTGTTGGATTCAATTACCTTTTCACAATATCAACTAACAATTTAATTTTATTTTTCCAAGTAAGTTTATTATACGATTTTTTTCAAGTAGTCATATAAATTTCTACCAGAAACATATTTTGTTAAATGTCCTCTGAGAACACTGAAAACATCAAATTTTAAATACTGATACTTTATTTCTTAATTTCAAATAATTTAAATTCTTTCTAATTTTTAATTGTCACTGAAAATAGATTAAATGCGCTCAAATAGAGAACATTTGCCAATAATTAATTTTCATAAAAATTGGTAAATGTTCTCTAAGAATACTGATACTTTATTTCTTAATTTTGGTGACAAATAATTTAAATTCTAATTGTCACTGAAAATAGAATTATTTGTCATTGAAATTAGAATTTTGATTTTAACTTTTATCGACCAATTTGATTAAGTGGCTCATAGATAACATAGAATACTTCAGGGCATTGAAGAAACAGTCATTCAAAAACCATAGAAAGAGACCTCAGATAGGACCAAAGAATAATAGTCAATTAAAATCATATATGCAAATTATGTAAATATGGTTTTGTTTTTAAATAGTTTTATCGATCAATTAAATTATGCTGATGAGTTTTTTTTTGAGAATTCAAATGCAAAAATCATTAATTAATTTGAGTGTAATTGAATTTAGTAACAATATAATATATTAAAAATAGTGTTTCACAAAATTTTTCTTAACCACACACAGAGTTTAGCTCAGATTAGGTTTTATATTTGCGTAAAATAATAAAGAAATACTAAAAAATAAAATAGGTTTGATATTATTGCGAGAGAGAAAAAGAGTGTTAAAAGGAGTGAACTTATTGCAAAGAAAATAAATTTAACAAAATTTACAGATTCCTTTGAAGTACAAAGTAAAATTAAATGTCAAATTGCATTTTAAGGTATTTATAAGACTTTTCGTCATCTTTATCTTTATAATAATTTGCTAGGCTTTCACAAACATTAAGTCGATACTCTTTGCTTTTTAAGAGTTCTAAATAGAGTTGTAAAGCTTTATCCTTATTTTTAGTAACACTATTACCATCTAGGCTTTCACAAACCTTAAGTCGATACTCTTTGCTTTTTAAGAGTTCTAAATAGAGTTGTAAAGCTTTATCCTTATTTTTAGTAACACCATTACCATTATCATAACAATGTGCTAACCAAAATTTAGCATTATTTTGGTAATGCGACTTTCTTAATAAAAGGCTAGAATAAATATCAAAAGCCTTTACAAGATCTTTTTTAGTACCATAACTGTTTAAATAATACTCTGCTAAACAATATTTCACATCATCCTGGAAATCTGATTTGCTTTTTGAAAGTTCTAAATAGATATCATAAACCTTTTTGTAATCTTTTTTAGCACCATCCTGTCCAGATTCATAGAATTTTGCCAATATATATTTTGCAACATCTTTATATTTTGAATCACTTTGTAAAACTTGATTAAAGAGAAAAAAGCTTTATTACCATTTTTTTTAACAAAATGCATTGCCAAATGATAGTTTGTATTGTCTTTGTATTTTGAATTACTTTGCACAACTTGTTTAAAGATATCAGTGGCTTTATTGTCATTTTTTTTAACAAAATTTCCATGCATTGCCAAATAATATTTTACATCAAGTATTCGACTTGTGTTTGGATATTTATCTACTATATTGTTAAAAAATTTAAAAAAATTTTTATAATTTCTTATAGAATAATTTTGAAATGCAGCTATAAACATATTATTACATAGTTGTTCTTCCATATTCATTGTTTGTCTAGATTATTATTATTATTTTTTTTGTACACATATATGCTTATATAGCGAATCAAGATTTACTGGTTATGCCTTCAATTCAAAGAGTAATTTTTCTCAGATATTTTTATTAATTGAAATTTAAATAATACTATATTACTACTATCTCTTTTTTCTAATCTCGATTTAAACCATTCTTTTAATTGTTCATCTTTTGCATTTAAATTTTTATTGCAAATCTTAAAACGATACCATAAATATTGCAATCAATTGAGACTAATTAAAAAAAAAACTTTGAATAATAGAATTCATAAAAACTGAATTGAATTTTTTGAGTCAAATCAAATCCTTTGTTGTTTTCATGAACTTGTTCATTCCTACAACAATTATTTTTAGCAAATATATTCTATTATATCATTGGGTTTGTGATGTTTTCTTATACACATTATAAATGTGTGATATGGTTGGTATTCGATTAAATAACTTTCATTTTTATAAAGTAGACGAATATTTGCTTTGATGATAGCCTTTCTGATATCTTCCTAGTATTCGATGGAAAATGATTTAATACAATGTAGATAGAAAAGGATAACACTAGCAATATCAGTAACATTTCAGCTTCAAAAAGACTAATATAGATCGAAAAAAATAATGCAAGGATATTAACTGTAAGCAATATCAGCATATCAGCATTGATTACAATCTTAATATTATAATTATTAATTATGGTATTTCTTTTGCTTAAATCCTAAAACAATTCAAAATTAATTAACTCAAATATTCATAAATATCAATAAATTAAATATCTATTCATTAGATATTTTTAATATCAATATCAAAATAAGAATCAATAAATTATTTCCAAGTTTAATTTTTTTTATACAATACGAAATTTATGAATTGCATTATTGATAATTAAATTTTAAATAATACCGCAAAATTTTACTTACTGATAAACTAATTGAATATCTTTTATCTGATTTTATGTGCGAATTATGTAAGTTTGTGGAGTGTTTAGTTGACTGTTTTGAGTTGGTAGATTAGAATGTTACTGTGACTGTGTGCTGAGTTAATATTATAGTTTTGGTTTCGATGTTGGTATTTTAGTCTGGTATTTTATTAGGCTTGATGAAGTCTTTTATAAGGCTTGCTGTGTGTTTTTTGAATCTTGAAATAGAAGTTTATATTTCAAGAATTTAGTAATTTGGGGCGAAAGATCAGACCCAAAAAATGCTTCACAGAAATAAAATTTTCCTAGGTGAGTATCGGGAAATAAAATTTATTTAGGGCAACAATTTCAATTACCAATGAGAACCTAAAATATAATATATTATAATTGAAGTCAGTAAACAGACTGCTGCAGAACCTGAAAAGTTTATCTGACATGATATTCCACCAAACTACAAGTCTATTTACTGACCCTTATGCAGTTCATCTATAAATTCTCATTTGATATCAATTCAAAAAGATAATCTCTTAATCAATTGCTATAGGATTAGTTAAACTACAAGTCTATTGACTGGCTATTGAATAGTATGTACTAATTTGCCTTATGCATAAAGAATTATTAGAATGATTTTTATATTGTTGAATTACAATTTTTTAGTTCAATTGTGGGAAAGTTATATATATAGATATATATCGATTACTAACCAACTAGATATATAGTGATAGTAATCACCCCTGCCAAGTTTCATCGATTTTGATTATAATTGCTATATAACCAATTAATATACACATTGATTAATATTGCATTCGATATTAATCGATATATAGCTGATATAAGCAGTTAACGTCGAATTAAAATAATATCATATCGATTAAAATAAATGCACTATTGTACATATTATATACTATACATTGAATTTATTTTAGAATCCAAACTATCGAATTTATTAAACCAATTTTG